CATATATATATATATATATATATATATATATATATGAAATATTTGCCATGTTATCTGTGTTTCCTAACAAGTGCATTATGTAGAAGGGAATATCTTTGCAGCTGGAAGATTATCTTCAAATCATGTGCAATATAATGAGACTGAGCAAAGCCAGGAAAAAGGAGGAGGGGAGGTAGAAATCATTTGGAAATTATTTCAGTCTTCTTTTTTTTATTAAAAAAACCACCCCAAACTCTTGAAAGATTAAGCAATCAGAAAGGAAACATTAAGCAGAGCTGCTAATAAGCAGCCCAAGCGTTTTGCTCGGGGTCGGGGGTAGATGGGGGAGATTCGGTTGCTCTCACTGTTCCCTGTCGAAGGCCATGGGCTGGTTTTGATGCTGGGACGTGAATAATTTCTGTTCCATTTTTCTGACTTTCATGTAAATTCTCTTTATCAGTAGGTATGTGCTGTACCAAAGGCTGTGATTTATTTTCAGTTCCTTATTAAGAAAGTAACATCTCTACTAATGCTGACGAAAATGGTGTCGAACAGTCAACAAGTTGTGCCTTGCTTTCAGGATCACTCCACGAAAAACTAAGGAAAAATAGAATTTCCAGGGGTGGAAGAGATATAAAAATCCATTCCTGGCTGGTTGTGTCCCTGCTTCATTTCATGAGAACCCATGTGACCTTCTCTGCTGTCCCACAGTACTTCAGTCCCGAGGAAATATTATAGTATTGTTTTGCTAATACTATAATAAACGGGAAGCTTGTCCCTCCTTTGCCCATTGCTGTTTCATTTTGCAGGCTGAGGGGATATTTTGTGGCAGGTTAAGAACTGTGAGTTGCCCGTGCTGGGCTGCAAAGCTGTTAAAAATGGGGTTTCTATAACCTCGCTGCATTTCCTAGGACCGTATGGCTAAACGTAGATGCAAACGCCAAAGGGGTTGATGGTCTCTCCTTCTGGCTTCCCCCCCTCGCCCCAGCCTCATCCACCTCCGCACGCTGCCTCCATCCAGCTTGGAGACTAAAACCCACCCAGCACATACTCTGTCGGAGGAGCAAGACGAAACTCACAACAGCATTGGACTTCTGGGGGAAAATAATGTTGGTGAGACTCAGGCGAGCATGGGAACCTCTGTGTCTGCATGGCAATAATTCACTGGGGATGGTTCAGGGAATGTTAGTTTGGACTGGACCAAACAGAGTGAGATGGAGCTTACTCTGAAGCTCAAGGGGAGGTAACGGGCCAAAATCATTAGGCATGTGAAGTAGATTCTTGAATTTTTCTATTTTGATTACTTTGGGTCCATGTCCAAGGACAAGCCTGGAGATCCCACCAGGTACTTGGAAAGTGGAGCAAGGACCACTCTGCCTGGAGGGCAGCACCAAAACCTGGATCCTTCACCAAACACAGCTATTTACCTGCTTTTCAAACCAGATCCCAGGCAGGAGATAGGGAAAATCCACAGGAGATAAATGTGGGATGCTTCAAGGCATAACCCAAGTGAGGACGCACTTAAAATAAACACCCTACCTAGAAAAAAGGCTCTGAAATGGGAGGACTTGGGGGAATATTTGTGGCAAAGCAACTGGCCATCTGCACCACGTGTCTCTCCTTGCAGCAGAGCTTTGAAGAAGAATGAAACCCAGGTGGGTTTCTGAGCCATCGTGCGGGGCTGGGATCACTCTGGACCTGTCTGTAGTTCAGCAGAAGTCGTCCTCCTTTCTGGCTGTCTAAGCCCCACATGCAAACTTCAGCTGCAATTAGGACTGAGAAATTCCCTTAAGAGTGGGGAAGTGGTGTGGTTCTTAACAGAATGCGTCGACTTTGGGGAGGTCACGTTTATTTTGTTTGGTTTTTAAACACTGATAATTTCTTGGCTTGAATTCCTCTGTCACGGCATGTACATCATTGGTGATGGAGACCTTGTTCATGGGAGCAGGGCTTGGGAGCCCCAAAGAAAAAAATCTCTGGGGCTCTGTATAGGTGCAGGCTGGGGAGAACAGGCTGAGATGGCAAGGGAAAAAAAAAAAAAAAAAAAA